AGGTACGACATTCGCCGTGTCCTGGGATTCGGCAAGCGAGGCCTATAAGCTAACCTTTTAATTATAATAATATTATTATGACTCGGGTTCGGTTAGTGGGTGAATCGATTATTGGTGTCGATGGAAGTCCATAGTATTCCTGGTAGGGTAGAATCTTTATCCAGCTGCTCTTGTGGCGATGGACATATGTGGCTGTTGTGGCATGGGGGAATACAGCTGCAGCGAGTGAAATGCGATCAGGTTGCTGGTCATCTTAAACCCGTGCTTATTGCTAACGGAAGTCAATCTTAAATAGAATATCATTTTCATCCACTAATCTCTCGTCCACAACAATTATAATGATACAAATGTATATAAATACAAACATCCAAATTCAGCGCAGCTATTAGTCCACACCAACCTTCATTAACAAGCCACTCCTTCTTGGCCCAAGAATGGAACACTTATTCCTTGTCCAAGAATGAAAACTACAAGCTAAGAGAAATTCCAGACCCAGCCCACAATCCACGATGCCAACCACCATTTCCATCAATCAGGATAGTGGCACTAGCCAAAACCCATTCCCGACAACAGTTATACCAAATGGTTGCGCCGAGTGGTCAGGAATGATAAGAGTTTTAAATATGCAAACTCATGTCATATACTGAATTTTAGCTCATTCATTAAGGGAAACCTTACTAAATCCTCGGGAAGGCAAATATCCTCTGATTATGAAACCTGTTACCATTGTGATTAAAATGCACGTACCAACTTGCTTTGTCGGCCCCGCCCGCCTGTAGGATATATTGCTGAATGGAATTAGAATAATTTCATACATAATAATATCATCGTTAAGGCAATACTAGTAAAAATAAATAAAAAGTAAAAGAGGCAATATTAGTTATTCCAAATACCAAAATAAAAGAAGTAAAGGTATAAATGTGGGGGAAAAGAGAAAAAAGCAAAAAACAATACAAGTATCATAATTGATGAGCAAATATACAAGTAAAAAAAAATGAACTTAATGAATGTAGGAATTGAGAATACTAGTATGGGAGTCAATGAATACGGAAGTTCAATGGACAATAAAGTTATTGGTTTTAACCATAGCATCCCATCTATAATAGCGCAAAAAAGCGTTTTGATAATTCTCAGATAACTGAACTGCACACTTGTTGAGTCTACTTACGACCGTACTATAGGAAAAGCACCCCGGCTCCGCGGAGTAGGTTAACAAAATTACAAATCCCAGCTAATGAAATCCAGGAAGGTCGGATCCTATCGCCCGATTTATGTACTAGTGATGGACACGATCGGACATGCTTGATTGCATCAGTGTCTGCTCGATCATGATCGAGCATGATCGTGCATTCGTAATCATGAACGATCACTCTATCCATATATGCATATCTCGTCAATAACGTTATTATAAAAACCCTCAACCCAGCACACACTTAATAGCATATTTTCAACAAGACTCCGTATTGTTGGTTCTTTGACATACTTCCCTGGGGAGCTCAGGTTATAAAAAGTACCTCACTTTCGTCATCCTTACAGGTGGCAGAAACGGTCGGATAAGCCGGCCTCCGACACTCTAAGCGAACGGAATAGGGCCAATGACTTGGACTTACAGCATTTTTGTTTAGCAAAGGGTGGTCTTATGTAGCTAAAGTGTTGGTAGTTGGGAACCGGATTGACCGAGGCTGATCAAGTCTGCAATCACATTCTAACATACGAAACCGACTCTAGTGGAGAAAGCCCGAGCATAATCCGCTGGACTCGGCCATGACCCAGCATACCCTCCTAATCTGGTCGAGCATGCTCGTGTCCATCACTGCTACATACTCTCTGGATAGCACTAGGTTACTCCTTCCTGGAGCTTTTTGTCACTGATCGCGGAGATCTAGGGTAATCAGGAGATTGTGGGTCCAGCGAATCTTTACGACACTAGTGAGTAAACTCCATTCGCAAGTTGGGGGAAAGAAATGAAAAGCGTGGTGGATACATTGCTGAGCTTGCCCGAGCATTCCCAGCCAGGTGAAATAGCACGGGCGAACAAATAGCGAGAAAAACCATTCAAGCGATAAGCACAAGATATCCATTCAAATGTTTTTTTTCCTTCCCTTTCCCCCACAAGCCAGTCACCGCTGGGGACTCATAGCGCCGTTTTAAGCTCTCTTACTACAGTTGATCCTCGGCACTGCACCAGACCAGTCATCCCACTATCCCAGACTCCGACAAGCATTATTATCCAGAACGATCGTTTAATGGCATATCTTCTCAAGAGCCCTTGGTCAAGGGGTCAGCGGTTTGAATTTACTTGGCACCCGGAGCTGATCGAGTGGAATTGGACTGCAGATTGATTGAAACATATTCCCAGTGGTTTATACACTGTCTGGGGATCAAGTCTGAGGTATCAGGCCATTATTGGGATCGATAGCACAATCACCGCACATGGAAGAATGAATCATACTTTCGAATGATCACTTACCGGCTAAGCAAGGCTTTAGTCAACTCTCTTTTTTCAAGGATGGCGAGACGAGGCCGCATATATTCCTCAGACTGGGGAATCACCCCCCGCCCCCCCCCACGGACCCTATGCAGATGGGACTACCTCCAGCAGTTCTACCTTTGGCGCTGGGCCAGTTATAAATACAAAGGTAAAACCAGCTCATAAGGTACCTATAGTAAGTATTATTCGAGTAGATTCCAAGCTAGTAACTACCTAATATACATGCTTTGCTCTAATACCCTTGAGCCCCCCCTCATCCCTTCATGATCCAACAAAATACAGGGACCCCTCCACCCCAACCTCACACTCGACCGGATTGTCGGCAACCACACCGCGGAGGAGTGCAGATCACTCATGTCTTTAACGGCATCTTTAGCATACAGCACTAACACTTCAACTCGGGAAAGTGAGTACTGATAAACGGTCTCTGTGTCGAGGCCCAGAAATACGCTGTACCCCCCTTGAACCCTCATTTCCACAACAGCATTGCCCCGAATGGAGCCAAGATGCCATTACTACGCTTGGAAAATCAAACATTAACCTCTAAGATAACATAGAGGAGGTCAATGTGTCCGAATACCGGGGAGAAATATCCACTTCGAGTCCGCCTAGATCTTGCGTGCCATGGCTGGAACACACAGATTGACCGTCTACGCAGATCAGACTTTCTGCCGATCTCATACAAGATAGCGGCTCCGTGCTTTCAAGAAAGGCAGTGAAGTTCCCAAGGTTGTCCGGGAGCTGGGAGCTTGATAATAGGAATTCCAATGGTCTCAGTAGTCCAGATAATTCCGTCATGGAAACGCACTCGACAAGAACCAAAATCCAGCCCCGAGAGCACTGGATCTACTCGGGGCTGAATTACGACTTCCTAACAAGTTCCCAAACGTCATAAACTTTATGTTGGAAAGATCTGGTGCAGCGAAGCACTTCAACGCCGTCCAATAGAGCATCTTCGGACCCACGCGTACCCCGAAGCGCATCGAAACTCAAATTAATAACTGACCACCATTTCGATTTATCCTCCTCACCTATGAAACGAGATAACTCCAACTTTCGCAATCAGGTTCGGGGGTGGGGAGATGGGGGGGTGCGGTAAACAACGTCCCCAACCCCAAGGCACTATTGGAGAATCGACCTGAGACAACGCACACCTGTGGCCCCAACCGCCAACTATAGCCTATGACACCATGGTACCTAAGTAGCAGCTGTATATATCATCCGCAGCACCACGAGCAATTACCAGTTAAGACAACCCCGTGTCTCCGGTGTCCCAGTTAAAATCCGGGGTGAGCAACTCTGTCCCTGACCTCCCCGCCCGCCGGGACCAAAACGGATACCGGGCTTTTGCTGACCGGACTACATGCACAGTACTAGGCGTCGTGATCAGAGCTTGCTAGAGCGTGATGAGTCCTTCCGAGTGATATTCTGTTGATATACTTATTTATTTTATTATTGCAGTGGGGGGGGGGGTTCGTTTAATCTGATAAGGAACGATGCATATATAAGAATTGTGAAATGACCATCATTTCAGGTACGATCTTTATGCCGGTGTTGAGGGAGATTGTACTTGCGCTACCCCCTACGTTGTATTTATTCACCGGATAAATTCTAGCTTTGTAAATAGCATGTGGGTGTAGGCCTGGCTTCGCGAAAGGGACTATTTACTGGTGACCACTTGGACTTTGAGCGGTGGCTCTTTCTCTCTAAACCTCTCAAGAGCGTACGACCTCGGATCGGAGCCGATATCGTGCTTTAGATAAGGGGGGCTAGATCAGGTGGATGTAATAGCTCTATGTTGCACTTGGATTGCAGGTCTCATCTATTCGTAATGAAGGATCTGATCGAGATATTGAGGGTGGGGGTTAGGGAAAACCTACCATAAGTGTTCAAGGGGGCGAGTTTGTGTTTCTCAAAAGATAATTTCTATCAAGCATGTGCATACGGGTGGGGCTCTGTTGACGGCCAATAATTACACGTTAGTTTTGGGTCCATCGGTCTCACCGAGTCTAGTAGAGGCTTGTTGCAACTGTCGACTTATACATATCGAGTGATACTCCATGTTGATTTCTTGATGTGGTGCTCGAAACGTGACGTTGTGAAACGGGCTACCATCGCATATGGCTAAAAATTTGCTAGCTTCAGAACTCTGGGAGTATGCAATAGCGGTCCGTTTTACGGAGGTCACAAAATCACGAATTCAAGTAACTAGCGGCTTCCACGACCGGGATACCACACAGTTTGATTGAAACATCCTGCTTTCACTACCACCTACCCGATCAGAAAGAATCACGGCAATTATACAAAACATGCTAAAGTTTAAAAATAAGAACTAATTGTACATCTCACGGAGAAAACGGTGTTCATTGGGTCTGGTTATTTATCAAACATCATATTGACCCCACTTGTCCCCTTCCGCCCCTCGCACCCATAAATAAGAGAAGGAAAAAAATAAAAATGCTTGCATAGTCTCCAAACCCGATTGAAGGGGTATGCAATATGTGAAAATTTAGTGCTTGTGATGTCCCCCATTGAGTCTGTGGTGGTTGTGAAGACCACGCTTCTTCTTTCGCTCTGGAGGAGCGGTGTACTGGCCATGGGGCGCGGGGATTGTGGTTGTCGTTTCAAGTGGGGTGACCGTCTCAGTGACAGTGACAATGACGAGGTATGGGTCCGAAGTATTTGTGGGGTCCGGAATGGCCGCAACTCCGACATTATGCTTTTTAGCTCCGCCCAGTGGGGCGGGAGAGACGGACGGTTTGGGGGTTTTCGCGGAAGTGGAAGAAGAGGAGGTTTTGGTGAGTTCTGGAGGTCCGGTCCCCTTGGTTTCCTTGGGTTTGGAGGGAAATGGGTCCTGATCATGATTGTCGAGTCCTTCACCCGGGCACGCATCCTGCTTCGCTGACTCGGGGCCCTCAACCACAGGATTACATCCGGGCAATTTCTTCAACGGACCAACTACGTCCTCCTTAACAGTCCTTTTGATGGTGCATTGATGCATCTCATTCTCGGTGTACAAATCGAAAACCTTGCACTCGTCGATCACACCTGATGGGGAAGTGCACACATTGATCGCCTCCTGGAGAACCTCCTTATCCCAAGCGTTCATGAAATCCCCATGATACCCACACCCTGTCGGATCCCCAGTGGAGAATATGAAACGTCCCTTCTGCCCGCCAAACCTGTCTACATCCCAGATAGTCTCAAAGAACAACGATACCACCCTAGTCTCGAATCCCTTTGGGCAATTTCCGTCGTCCATGAGAGATGGGTAGCGCATGTGGTCACGGTGGCCTGGAGAGTCGAGGTCTTTTCCATTCCAGCAAGATGGGAAGAATACCTCTGCTCGGAGACCGTCCTTGCACGAGAGGTTCTCGGGGATGGTCTTCATTCCCAGTGCTGCCTCGGCGGGTAAGTGATAGTTGAGACAATTAAACCCAATAGCTTTCTGACGAAGGGCAGCCTCTGTCATGTCTTCGGGGGTCCAAAGAGACTTTTCAACATCCTTATAGGGAAAGTTTCGGAGCTTCGGATCACCGGCAATCATGCGGAAGCCATCGGGGAAGGCTTTAACGTTTTCACCGCGGGGAAGATAATACCTATTTTTATTTTTTGATCCATTATATTAGCACGATTTTTTGAACAAGTAGTAGTGCACAATGTAGCAGAACTTACACGAGCATGCCACCCGTCTGGTTAACAACATTGAAGTTGCCAGCCTCATCCTGAAAATACAAGACAGGAGTCCAATATGCTGATCTATCCTGCTTAACCTGACAAGAAGAACAAGTACTCTTCAGTAAATCTGCTTCTAGCGACGACTCACTAAACTCTTTTCCAGAAAAGTTAATAACTCTCTAGCCGAGCAGATCCGTGGAACCTGTTTTACTTACTGTTCCCACCATGAATGGTGTGCACATGTTCTCCGACAAGTCCAAAATGAGTAAGTGGATCAATCCGCTCGACAGTCAAACTCTGGCGACATGGTAAACGCCAGAAAGCGCTCGCCTCCAGGGCGAATAGGGACAAGAGCACCAGCGAATTCAACATTTTGGATGAGATGACCGCGGGAGAAAAAAAAGAGGAAAAAAAGAAAAAAGAAAAAAGCTATATAGGCTATCGCCAGAAAATTATCCACGAGCACCCAAAGGAACGAATTCTTGTGCAAGGGTGGAAGTAAAGAGTGAGATGGGTTAAAGGAGCGACAACAAAAAGAGGAGGTTGTAAAAGGAGTGGAAGGGGTATAATGCTATTGCACAATCCAGAAACGAAACCAACCCGCCAACGGTGGAGGGAAAGGAACGAGGTGAAGAGAGAAAGGAGCAGGAGAGAGAGAAGAGGGGAAGAGAAACCCTTGCCTCACATATATCATGAAGGGAAGTGCTAAGAGTTTTTGGCGTGTGGGATTTCCCGCACAAGGTTTCTTTCTTGGCACTCTCCTATTCCGCCCCTTCCACACGGGTTTCAACCCGATTAGGTGTGGTTCAATTCTGTGATAATATGGCTTGATCCTTTATCATACTGAAGCTTCCTATCGTCAGTTCGTATGCCGTGCTCCTTCTAATGTTAATATATTTACCGGTAATGTATACTGCACTCGGGTATGGAGACAATCTTCGCAAGCGACCGCAAGGGACAATAAGTACTAGTATGATACTCGAATGCAGTACTGCAGTAGCGATAACTGCTGCTGACCAAAAATGAGCTGCTATGTTTCGGTAGACTGCGGAAACAAACACGACAGCTTCTTTAAGGTGCCCTTCCCACCCATTCTTCCTCCCTACCGGTATCATGATGATAGCGTGCCCTCCCTGCTGATGCGAACTACTCGAGTACCCCAAACATTCCTTTGATCTTTCCACCTCAGTCTAATCTTCCTCAGTTTGTCTTTGCCCCCCGATTTTTCCAATCTAAGGGCGTCACCGCACTTGGACCGGGATGATGGCAATTAATGCGCCATCACCCTTGATAGTCGTTGAAACATGCTTTTATGTCATGGTCCCCTTCCAAGGTGACCCGAAAGGCCCTGAATTTCCTCGATGAGTTAGCCTGGTGATTAGTTGCAAGCAGGGCTCTCCACCTTCAGTATCTGGCGGT